ATTCTCATGTTAGCACGTTTTACAATAGCTCTTAACAGCTCCTATCAGGATTCAGCCTCATTGTGCTGGAGAAGCAAGAAAAACCCAGATGCTGTCGAGAAGGCTCAAAGTGTGGGAAAACGTAACTCTAGGAAAGGGACTCCCAGCAGGCACCTGAATGCAAAGGAGTCCTGGCTCTGGCTGGAGCCTTTATCACTAATGTAATACCTACTTAACCATAATGCTGACCCAAACTGTCCTGAGCTGAAGAGGATGAGACTGTGCAAAACCCTGAGAGAAACTGCATGTGTGCCCATATAAATGGCTAGAGGGAAGGCCAGAGGCACAGGTACATCCTCTTCTGGGAGCAGCACCTCTGGTTTCCATGCATACAGGGTTGCCGTCAACTCGGAGGAAGCAGGGAGAGAGCAGACCTTGCCCCTGCATCCATGCAAAAGGCACAGTACTGTGAGTGTAACACTTTCAGGTGAAAACTATATCATGCTTCCCACCCGCAATGTCTAACAACCCATCCGACAGGCGGGAAGGCAGAAGCCTGTCAGACAGCGCCTGGTCTGTCTGCTCCTTCTCTCGCCTCGTCTTACCTTGCTTCTGGGAGTGAAAATCTTCTATTCCCTGCTGGCCCTGCACTCACTCCTGTTGCCTTTTTGTATTTTAAGTGCCGTTCTGAAACCAGACGACTCTCCTATGCAGTAATAAGCTCTGCTTGCTGCTTTCTACCTTTCTCTTTTCCCTGGGATGCGGCGAGAAGGAAAACCGGACAGTGTCTCAAAGGGCTGTTTTCCACCTGCGAGGCGGCAGGGCAAAGTGCGAGACAAGGTGGCCCCAAGGCAAATACTCAGCCCAGGAGCTGAAGGGCCCAAGCCTTCACGTGCCCTTGTGCTCTGCAGGCTGGACACCGCTTACAGGCAAACTGCCTGCAGACGACGATTTTCTTCTTTACCATGGGGCCGGGGTAACAGCTTCCAGCACCACTTCCTCACTGCCTCTGCTTCTTGCTAGCACCACCTAGCACTCATGCGTCTTAGCTAATTAAATGTCCCCCTGTGTGGTCAACCTAGGATTGAAACGCTCTGCTAGTGATTCAAGGTAAAGAGTGAACTTCTGTGCCCTGCACAGAACTCACAGCTGGGGGATCTCTGCAAGGCACTGCACAGCACCGAGCGGCAGGGTCCTGCTCCCCGCAGAGCCCGAGCTCTCCCCACCCTGCGCCTTGCAGCAGGGCTTTCGAATGACATCACTAAGGGAAGAGAATCAGGCGCCCAGATTTTAAATTCATTAATGCTCAAACAATAGCAAGAAAAACAAAAGTTGGCAGGCAAACGGACTTCAGTTCCAAGTTTGTCAGGGGTTATTATAGAGAGAGAGAGAGTTAAACAAAATTCCAGCCTTAAAATATGAATGATTAAAGAAATACGATGACCTTGTGCTTTCAAGATTATGATTTACGAAACAAACTGATGGTCAGTCAAAAAATGACTAGGCTCGGGATAGCCTTTCTCTCCTGTGTCCCTTCCTGCAAGCCAGGAGAGCAACAACTATGAGATCATTCGGTTCCCAGCCAGCCCTGCGCTGTTTGAATGAATAAGCATCACTGTTCTGCTGCAGTTTGCATGCAGTCCTGACAGAGCAACATCAAAACACAGCGCAAAATACAGGACGTTTTCATAGACCAGGCCAGGACATTCAGAAACAGGTCATCAACAGAAAGGCCGATTAGCCGTGCCCGTGTTACCGCAGACACATCCGAACCATTCATCTTGTGGTACCAGAGAAAGAGCGAAAAACTGTAGAGAAAGAAAAAACATCGAGCTTCTCTGCCTCTTTTGAGACTGAGTTTTCCAAGCCGCTTCTTGGAAATGAGTCACTTGTGCCTGTTTTGTGACATGAGTTTGATGGGACTCAGCTGAGTCTCCACAGGATGAACGTGTACGCGACAAGCAGAGAGGCACCCGAGGGAGCAGAGCAGCCGGCCGGCCGCGGGCAGGCTCAGCGAGCGTGGGAGTTCAGTTCCTCAGGCTGTCAAGCAGCCCCTTCGCCTTCAGCCTTAACTCACGTAAGCAGCCTGTAACTCGCAGCCGCCCTTCCCCGCCGCGGCCCCCGCTTTGCCCCGCGCGGCAGACGTGGCCGCGGTTCAAGCTCACGAAACGCACGGATGGAGCGAACGCGCGCAGCCCCGGATACGCGCGCCTGCTGTGTGTGTGCACGGAAGAGAGGGCCCGAGCTAAATGAGCTGACTGCTTCCCAAACAGTTATGAAGGGGGATTATGAGGTTACCAGAGCTTCGTCCCAAAAGAGACAGATTTCCAAAAACCGTTAAACACGTTATAACAAGTAATAGGAACTGTAAAGGAACTGGAGCAAAGTGGGGGATTTGCAGGGAAAAACAATGTATTTTTTTCCAAAATCTTGGGACTTCCACCCCATACCTCCTTTTCCTTTTCTCTTGCCTTCGAGTTTTGATCTCTCCGGGACGGCAACCCTGTTGTTCAGTACGGGTGAAAAGGGCTTGAGAAAGAAAGAGCACATTTTCTTTTACTGCTAATGTACTCCTGGAATACATCTCTCTATGTTATGCCACTGTAACACAAGGACATTATAATGCCATTAAATCCTTCTGGTGCTGTGCTCCCTTGCTAAAGCCTTTCCGGGCTTTGTGTCACCGGAGCTTTTCACACAACGACGCTGAGCTGCCTTCCATTAATTAAGGGAGGCTATACTTAGTTCAAGATGCTCCAGAAACTCTCTCAATACAGGGAACTTTTATCTCTTGAGGGAACTGAGGTTTGAATGGCTTTTTTAGGCACGAACTTGGTAGGATATAGAAGTACTTTGGGTTTCATTTGGCTCCTGCAGCTCCACCTCTTTTTCTTACATCGATGAACGACTAAGAAAGCTTTGCCTGCGTCGCACGCAGATATCTAATCGCAGCAAGCCAGGGCAGCGGAGGTTAGAGGTCCCTTATTGCCAGCATGGTACAGAATTAGCAACACGACTTGTAAGTGCGCTGTGCACATCCTAAACACGTGGCTTCTGGCAAGTCAGATGTTGAGTTCAATCACCAACGCTGCAAAATGTGCGGAGCGGAATATTTCAAATGTGGTCAGCACTGCACTTAATTCAAAACTTCAGTCCTATAGTCTGAAATGGGAACAGTCAAGTCAGTGCTGCTCCCTACCACAAAACCCTCACTGTAGATATTCATTCCTGAGCCCCAACTGCAGCT